GGGGGCGGGGGCGGGGCGCGTCAGTTCACCCTCCCTGCTGCGACAGCCTGGAAGTGCTGCGGCTTCGGAGGTCACCGGGGCTCCTACGAGCTCTCCGTGAGCCGGGGAGATGTGGCTGCGGCGAGCAAGCAAATATTAGGCCTTTTTCCCCAAAATGATTTTTCAGTCGTTTCTACCCTTTAAGGCATTGGAGGTCATTACAGTGAGTTTCCTCTCACTCGCTGGTTAATAGCCTGTCAGACGAGCTGGGTCATGGGGTGAGTGTACAATTTAAAGTTCCTTCTGCCACCAAATGTATTTTATTTTTTTAGAAAACCCGGAACTGACGTAGTTAAGAGGAAATCTCACTCAAACAGGAGCCGCGCCTCCCACTTAGATTTCAACGGGAAGGGGCCGCAGCGTGCGTCTGCGCACAGCCGAGGCTCCGGTCTGGCAGAGTGAGACCTCAGCCCGTGTCGCGGTCAGGGGCCCGGCAGGGTCACCGTGCTCAGCAGCCAGAGAGGCGCCCGCACCCCAGTTCCAGCACGTGGTGGCTGGCGCACCTCGGAAGACGCTCAGACCCCTGCGAGCTCCACCCCTGCCCCCAACACAGGGACATGGCTCCACCCCCCGGCAGGGCCGGCATGGCGCCCGGGGGTGGCAGGCCCTGCCCAGTTGTAGCCGCGTGTGCACATGCGTGTGTGCGTGTGCGTGTACGCATTGTGCACGTGTGTGAGCTCCTGGGAGAACGAGCTGCAGCTGTCATGAGCGCACACGTGGTAACTCGGTACCGATCACCACGGTAACGAGGGTGGGGCCGAGTTCGCGGCGACGGCAGCCCCCCAGGCACGGTGACAGGGCCTCGTCCTGACCACCACACACAGTGGGTACCCCGTCATGTGCTGGCCTCTGCTGGCCCCCCATTAGCTCCGTCCCGACCTCCGCGACAGCACGTGGAGAGAGAGCGTGTTTCCCTTTCGCAGACAGAGTTCGCTGAGCCTGGCGGGACGTGGTCGCCAAGTCATGGTGGCCGCGGCCTCTCCTGGAGCGGGGCGGTCCCTGTAGCCCGCATGGCCCAGGAAGGAGGCGCATGGGGTGCCCTTCCTGTGGGGTTCGGTGCAGGAGCCCAGGCACGCCCTGCTCTGTGGGGTCAAGAGGCTGCAGCCGCAGCTCAGCGCTCGGCGTGGAGGCAGCAGCCGGCGGATTTGCACCTCGGCTCCCGGAGCTGACCGCTGCGCTGTCGGGACATGAGGATGCAGGACGTGTCAGCCAGGGCCAGGCCTGAAAGCACGTTCCCGCTGCGGGGAAGGGGGAGCTGTAGGGTGGTCCTTTGGTGTCCCCCAGGAAATGTGTGATTTGAAGAAAAGGTAGAGGCTTTTACACTGTAGCTCTAGAAAGCCAGTGTGGCCAGGGGGCTGGCTGCGGACCACCGGGAGAGGCCGATCGAGTCTCACAGAGTCCTTCGAGAGAGGAGCATCTTTGTGCTGGCAGCGCTGACCCGCGATGCTCCGTTCCTGTGGCCCGGCACTGTGCCCGTCGCATCGAGTGCAGAGCACGTGGCAGGGTGGGCCGTGTCTGCTGGCCCCGTCGCGCGTCCTCACCCACAGGCCCACTCCGGCCGCTTCCCAGACTCAGCCCCCTTAACCCCCGAGCCCCTGCCCTCGGGCCCAGCCCCCACGAGCACGTAGCAGCCAGGCTCTTAGACTCCAGGTGAGGGCTCGCTGTAACCGGCGACCCTGAGTCACAGCAGCGGGAGAAGCTACAGCCCTTGCAGCGGCCACAGTAACAGCTCCCGTGGCATCTGCCCCGTTGAACTGCGGGTCTTTGTAAAACACCCGTGGGTGGTTTGGCAGTGGACGATAATGGGGTGTTACTGTGCTTCATGATGACGACGGCTTTGCCAGAGGTGACGTCCACGCTGCGAAGAACTGGCTTTTCCAGCAGAGCAAAAAGCACGTCCGTGGGTCTCTCCAAACGCTGATGAGAGAGGAGCCTGGGGGACACCTGGGCCTCGCTCCCGCGGTCAGGACGCCAGTGACCACCGTCGGCCGGACGCCCGCGTGCCCACCAGCGCTGTGCCGGCCAGGGCTCCGACAGGCGCAGCCGGGGACCGAGCCGCGTCGCTTGTGTGCAGGGCGGGCTCACGGCCGCGTGACACGCCGGGAAGCAGCAGGAAGCCTTCGCCGCGTCGGCCCAGGGTCGGCCCTGCCGGCTCCAGTCCAGGCACAGGCGCGTCGTCTTTATGTGTCTGGAGGCTGGTGCCCCCTTTTAATTAATTCGTTAAGAAACTATGCTGCGTAACTACTTTTTTTTGCAAGGAAATCAATTTTAAATTCATATTATCACCCTGTGGCAAATACACTGGAAGGTGAGAAGCGGTGTTATTGCATTTTCCTGTGATCGTGAGATTTTTTTTTTTTATTTGCAAGTTATTGACACAAGAAGGAAGTTTTAGTTGTGCCCGTTGTTCAGACTCTGCGTTGTGCTAGATCATTGGAGCAGCAGTGGAAAGAACCCTTTGAGAATAACTGGAATAGTGAGCCGGGCTGGAAATAAATTTCACTGCGTGCAGCGGCCTAAATGTTCTGAGATCTTCGTACCGAGCTCATCTGTGAAACACCACTGCAGCGCGGGTGCGTGCGCCGGGGAGATGGTCACGGCTGCAAGAGTCTCCAGTGTGCCGTTTTATAACCTTGTCGCGCTGACCAGCCTCTGTCAGCCTGTGAAGACGAGCGTAACTGTATCCAGACAGACGTAACTTTTTCATCTATGTGCTGAGATTTCTCTGTTGCTTTTCGTCGTCACTGCCACTATTTCTGGGACTTGAAGTTTCTTCAGAGTCGTATTTCTGCCTGAGACCCGAGCAGAGTCAGCGTTGCAGTGCGAGGCGGGCGGCGGAGCTCGCTTCCTGCTGGATGGAGACGCCGGGAGACAGGCCGTCGAAGGGAGAGATGCTGCCCGCGGAGGGGCCACCTGCCTCGCGTGGCGTGCGGACATGTCCGTCAGCGAGCTCCCCCACTGTGGCTGCCGCGCCCCCTGGCCCGGGGCGCTTGGTGCCCTTGATGTGGCACCATGGAGAAGCTCTCAGTGGACCGCGGCCGTCACAGTGGTGCGTGCCCCTCACGGCAGTCCCTACGCAGGGTGACGGAGAGGGGGTGCCAGCCCTAACCACCAGGCAGGAGGAAGTGACAGGCTGGTACAGAGTGCTCTGCCTGCGTCCGTGCCCTGCCCTCTCCCCGGGGCAGGTGCATCCCCCAGGAAGGGTCCCTCCTCCCGGAGCGGCTGACGGTGTCGCTCTGGTCTGCACACGCACGTCCCTTGGCCTGGGGCAATTCCTCACTGTGGGGCACCCACACACTGGGTGGTGGTCAGCAGCCTCCTGGCCTCTACCCACCAGGTGCCAGCGGTACCACCCCCACCACTGTGGCGACCAGGAATGTCCCCAGGTGTTACCAAGCGTCCCCGGGGAGACAGCAGTGGGCCACCAGGCAGAGCACCACTGGCCAGGCCATCACTGGGACCCCCAGGGCGGACTCCTCACCCGCCGTGTGCCACGTCGGTCCAGAGTGCTGCCGGGAGCTGGACCCTGCAGGCTGGACCCTGGCCTCCCGCACGCTGTCACTGAGCAGACGCACTGATGCCCCCGCTGTTTCCAGATAAGGAAAAACAGTCAACCCCAGTGGGAGACCCGTCCATACAGAATGGGGACTGGGGCCAGTCCATCGTCTGTGAAGATGGGTCACACCTGGGCCGGCCGGGCAGGTGTGCCCGATGGATTCCCTGTGGCTCCTGACGGACACTCGACTGCATCCCATGTCCAGTGTCTACCTGTCTGTGGCGGAGCCGCTGTGCAGCCTGCACGCAGACCTCTGCCAGGCAGGAGGGGGGACAGGCGGCTGGGCACGGGCCAGCAGGTGAGGCCGGCGGGACAGGTCCGCAGGCCCGGCGCCGCTTCTCAGCATTCACACCCCGTGAGAGCCCGCGGGGGCAGACGCCTTCTGACGGCACGACTTCTCCCTCGTGGAGCACCTGTTCGGGAAGCGGTTTTAGGGCGCAGAGAGTGGAGAGCAGCCGGCTTCGTCACGTGCTGGCGATCACGCATGGTGGTCTTAGGAGCTTCTGACCGTTTACACAGATGTTTCTGCCTTGATCTGACCGTGATTGAGTACATGCTGCTTTTATAAAACGAGCGTTTCCCCGCGGTGGCCCGGCCCGCGTGGATGTGGTGTGGCAGCCTCTGCGCGGCATGGCCCAGGCTGGAGGAGGGCGGGCCCCCTCCCGCGTTGTGCGTTCCTCGCTGAGTTTATCAGCTCTCGCTGTCTCTGCGTGTCCGTGCAGGCCGTGTCCGTGCCCGCAGCCTAACCCCACACGTGCACCGTTAGCTCGGGCTGGAGGTTGAATGGACTTGCTTGGCAGGTCCTAGGGAGGGGACGTGTGGCCGCGGTCGACCAGACTTCCGTGCAGGCAGAGGGGACATGCTTGTTGACTTGGGGCTTGTGTTTCTCTTGCAGCTGCCTCATATACAAATTACAAGAAGACGCCGCCCCCTGTCCCCCCACGGACCACCTCCAAGCCTCTGATCTCGGTGACGGCACAGAGCAGCACTGAGTCCACGCAGGACGCCTACCAGGATGGCCGTGCCCAGCGGATGGTCCCGTGGGCCCAGGACGGCCGTGGCCTCTACAACTCCACAGACAGTCTGGACAGCAGCAAGGCCTTGAACCTGGCGCTAGAGACGGCCGCCGCCCAGCGCCACGCGGAGAGCCAGAGCGACCAGGCCATCCTGGCGTCCAGGGCCGAGGAGTTCTCCAGGGGCTCGCGCCCCTCCATCGGGGTCCAGGTAGCCCCCAGCCCGCCATCTGATCCTTGGGGGACAGGCCTTCGAGGGGCGGAGGCACCAGCAGGGCCCCCGCTCATGTGGCCAGCCTACGGGCAGAGCACATGGCCACCCAAGGACGCCCGGATCCCCAGCCCCCACCCCCACTGGGCATTGTCCGGGGCCACTGGTCACCCAGGAAGCGTGGAGACAGGTTATTTTGATGCTTAGGAAGGAATTTTTGTTGAAACTGATTTTTCAAAAGCTTTTTGGTCTTGTGGCCAAATAGCTGGGGGCGGGAGGTATTGGTCGTTGGGGATACAGGTGGGGTGGTGGGTGTTGGGGATACAGGTGGGGGGGTGTTAGGTGTTGGGGTTACAGGTAGGGGGTGTTGGGCGTTGGGGATGTAGGTGGGGGGGCCTCTGGCACAGAGCTGGGGGCTGTGGTCTCGGCACTGGTGCGGGCTGCCCGGCCCTCAGCCGTGGTCACGAACGCCGTGCCCGTGGCCTGGACCCACTGAGGGCCCAGACACCTGCCTGAGACGCGGACCTGGCCAGGCCCTCTCTGCCCGGCAGGTGGCACTGCCGCCCCCTCCTGCCTCCCTCACTCCCACCGGCCCGACACGTCCGTTCCCAGTGCATGGGAGGCGAGGGCGCCTGCGGGTGCTGGGGCCGCCCTTGCTCTCCTCTGCCCGCCCCAGATAGCGCAGGACCCCGCTCGCCCCCGCAGGATCCCCTCGCCCTGTCTCAGGGACCACCCCTTCCCCGGGACAGGGCGAGCGAGCTCCTGGGCTCTCTCCAGGCACTGCTGCACGCACTCTCGTCACTGCCCGGTCATCTGGGCCCGGCCCAGTGCGAGCTTTGACGTCGGTTCGGCGCCAGGGAGGAGGGTGCGCTGGGCGTCCGGGGACGGGGAGCCGGGGGTCCGAGCCAGGCCCCACACCGTGGTCCGTTGTTTTGTTTAGGACTCTGAATTCCCAGAGCGCCAGCCATATCCAAGGTCAGATGTAAGTACAAAATGCTCACACGTGAGTTTTATCTGTCTCTGTTTTCCGGATGTTCATGCAGCTGCGTTCATCCCGTGTCCTGATCCCATGTGCCAGGCACTCTGCTGGGAGCCCCCCACCCCAGTGTGTGATCCATGGCACCCGTGAGGGTGAGGCTGGGGTCACGCAGCCCAGGGACCTGCTGTGGCCATGGCCGGCTCCCAGGACAGCCAGGCTCCCAAGCCACATCTCAAGGGAAGACGTGCGACGTTCTCGTGCTGTCAGGTGGCTCCGCGTCCCTGGTGCCCACGCGCCCTTGTGCTCACCGGACGCCCGCCCCCTTCCCGCACCCACCCCCACGGGGCACGTGCAGCTCCGTCTTCACCTGACAGTCGTGGGCACGTAATTCTGAAGCCAGAACATTAGGTCGTGTGGCCGGTAAAGGAACCCCACCTCAGCCTCCCCATCACCCCACACGCTCACGCCCTGCTCCCCCACCCGCGTGCAGCCTTCCCGGGCGCCGTCCCCCCACTGCGTGGTCTGTGACAGCCTGGCCATGCCTTCGGCCTCCTGACACCCCAGCGCCCAGCACAGTGCCTGGCACACAGCAGGTTCTCGGTAAGCGTCGGGCACGTGAGTGGACGGCGCGTGGCCGGTGGATGCGAGTGAGCGTGTGAGGGCGTGTGCCGTGGGGTCCCCGGGGTCCCCTGCCCTTCACCACCGCCGAGCGCGGTCTCACGCGAGCTCATAGCCTGGCTGTCGTCTCGTTAAAGTGCCTCAAAAAGCCGGGAGGGAAGCATTGTCACAACGACGCCAGTGCCAGGACCCGGGAGTGTGGGCGTGAGGCGGGGGCAGCCGCTCGGGGCCACGGAGACCGTGAGGGGTGGTCCGGGCAGGCGAGCCCCACCGCGGAGGCTCCGAGGGCCCCGGGAGGCGGCCGAGGACAGCACACGTCACTGTGCCCGGGCCTCCTGCGGCCCAGGTGCCCTCGTTACCACGCCTACGTCACAGGTGAGACGCGGAGGCTCAGGGGTCAGCGACTTGCCTAAGGCCACAGGGCCGTGATGTCCCAGCCCCCGTGGAGGCCGGGAGGGTGGAGTCCGCCCGCTGTCCGCGGCTGCCCGGAAGGGGGGCGGCCCGAGGCGCCCGAGCCTGCGTGCTCGCTGTCCCGGGCCCTCAGCCGCTGGGACGGTGCCGGCCCCACATGCTCGACTGCACTCGGTGCCAGGTTCCCGCCCGGCCACAGACGTGCTGCCCAGGGCCATGGCTGCCAGGGGACCGGGTGGCAGCCGAGCACGTGCGCACAGTGGGCGTTCCGTGCGAGAGCTGACGGGCAGCTGTTTGTGCATCTGCCTTGAAGCAGCCGCACCCTTGCAGCGTGACAGCCCAGCCAGCTGTCCGTCATCAGGCTGAACCCTGCCCTGGTCCCCTGCCACCGCTCCTTGGCAGTGGTGACACCTAACCGCTTCTTGTGCTTGTCTTTGTTTTTACGTGTGGTTCTCTGCTGTCTCGTCGGGGGAGGGGGGGGGTGAAACCGTTGAAAGTGTCACTGTCCCCAGATTCTGCTGCAGTGTCTGAGATCCAGGCACCCTTCAGCCCCATCTTTAAGTGGGTTCTGTCAGCAGGCTCGGCTTGAGCCCCTCACACGGTGCCCAGGGAGGCCTCTGGGTCCCCTGGGGCCTGACCGCTCTGCCGAGAGGGGGCACTGCCTCCCCCGCGACCACCCCACCCCCGCTGGGCACTGAGCCCACACACACCACGCTTGCAGAAAGAGAGGTCACTTAGCATAAGCGATTTGCTGACGCATCTTCTCTGTGCCTGGGACGTAATGGGTCAGGTAAAAATGAAGATGCGCGTTTATTTCTCAAAACGCTGAAAGCCGTTCGCCTCGTGTCTGGAGTTCTCTCTTGGGCAGAGGCACCTTGTGCGCCTGCGTGAGGTGGTCCGCTGCAGGCGTTGGCGTCCTGGCCCGGGGTCTGTCACACTCCACCTCCGCCCTTCCAGGAAGGGCCGTGCCTGGCCCGGGCGGGGACAGGGCTCCAGCGTCCGCCGCGGACGGGCTCACCGGATCCAGCCTCCGGCGAGCGTTTCGCACCAGCCACACGCCCTCAATGTCTCTCGCTTCCGAGATCAGGAAGAAAGGACTCAACAAACTTGGAAGACGCAGGTCAGGGCCCCACGGCTGGTGCAGAGTCTGACTGGCTCCGAAAACCACGATTTTGTCTTTCACTATGAAAATAAGGCACTTAAGATGGAGGAAACGTGGCGACTAGAGAAAGGGGCCCTCTGCTGTGGTTTAGCCGTTCCAGCCCCTCACATGGGACGCCGACATGTCTGTGAACGTGCGAGCGTTTGGGGCCCTTGGCGTCCATGCCGCCTGCCGCGGCCGCGCCGGCCTGGGCTGCGCCGTGAGCCTCCGTCACGCAGTGTTCATGGCCGTCACCTCAGTGACGGCAGGTGCTCTGTGCCCCCAGTAGCCCCGACTTCGCCGTCTCCCTGTTGTCTGTCCCCCATGCGTCACCTCATAACTCACGCTGTGCCGACCTCACACGTTTATCAGAATTCAAGGTCATTTCTTTAGACTAGAATCCTAACAGTGGGATATGTGAGGCAAATGTTCTGAATGTTCTTATGAAAATCAGGGCTCTTTCAGTTACAAAAATGTTTCTGAAAGTGTACGTGTGAATCAGTATCAACCACATTGTGTGTCTGTGTCGACGACATCTCCCGACACCGTACCCGTGCCTTTGGCCCAGCGCCCCCGTCGGCTCTGAGCGGACCCACAGAAGCTTGTGTCCCGTACACGTGCAGACAGGTGTTTGTAGCAGCATCATTTATGATGGCAGAAGACTAAAGATAAGCAAATCTCCCTTCCACAGAAGACAGTAAGTAAATGAGCTTGAAGGCACGCGAGGCAGCTCAGCGTGCCCTGTGTGTGCAGTGAATAGTCTTCGTGCCCAGCACGAGTAGTAAATAAAATTTATTAAAGCTCCGACCCACGTAAAACTGGAAAGGGAAACGATGACCACGAGCAGACGTTTCATTCGGGAGTGACCCTCCAGGTGTGCTGGGCCCGTTTCCTCCGCAGCTGCTGTGGCTTCGTGCTCCTTTGCAGACTCGCCGGTGACCACGGCTGTGCTCAGCGTCCTGCACTGGCTCAGGAACTAACCGGCAGCTCCGGGGTCCTGACGCAGCCATGTTTGTTCTGGCCACAGAGGGTCAGTACAGAGCCTGGCTCTGCGATCACCGAGGTCCGGGCCTGAGTCCCTGCTCTGCACCCCCGTGAGCTGTGCACCCCTGGGCAAATTTCTCGCCTCTGACTTCTTGGCTGTTAAGTGCGGCTGGAAGCGTGAGCAGGGGCGTCATGCGGACCCTGTGCAGATGTCCGTGTGCCTTTAGCATGGCGTCTGGCGCGCGGTAAACAAAATAAACAGCAACTGTTCCTGTCACCGTCTCTGTGAGCCACACCCTGGAGCAGCCCTCGGGGGCTCAGGCCTGGCCTTTGCAGTCGGCGAGTGCCTTTGCTCCTAGGACTCACGGAAGAGTCGTAACGACGTGTTTCCTGGTGTGCGTCCTACCCTTATAGCGATCGTCGATATTTTTACAAAATGTGTGTTTTACGACTTAGTTATGACATTTTGGATCGGAGTCAAAGTCCTGTTGACGCAGTCGGTGGCCCCTAGGGAAAAGGCGGAGGGACAGCCGGGCAGCTGGAATGACGCTCACGGCCGAACCTTTCGTCACAGACCCGAGAGTCTGGGGGTTTGGGGTTCTTGGTTTGTTTTGTTTACGGAGCATGCTGCGCTGGAGGCCTCGGTCTCTCACGCGTCACACTGCTGGTGACCCTTGAAATGCTTCGTGGGAGTGGGCTGACTTCATGGCAGATACGGCCGCAGCGAGAGTCCTGTGCAGTATGCTCCGTTTCTGCCGTGTCCTGGCATCGCCCTGCGGGCACAGTCCTGCTGGCAGACGTGGGACCGCTTCGTGTGGGCACAGCTGGGGCGGTGTCCCTGCCGCGATGTCTGTGGACGCAGCCGTCGGCTGCCTCTGCTAACTCGCTCGTTGGTCGTGAGCCCTCCCTGGGGCCGTCCTCACTACCTCTGCTGTGGGCCGTGGTGAGACTTCAAGCCCCGGAGCAGCGCAGCCCCGCAAAGCCGTCCTCTGCCCGAGCTGAGCCGATTCGGCAGCGCAGCATGGAGCTCAGGTGGCGGCACAAAGTGCGCCGGGCGGGCGGGCGCTGCACAGTTTCTGCCCCGTGACCGCGTTGCCGGGTCACGTGCAGCTCCCGTGAAGGAAACGGACGTGTGACTCACGGCACGGGGGGCGCACGCACGGTCGTCCCTGCCCGGGTCCCCGCCCCTGCTCTAACGAGGACGTTCTGTGTCGGACCAGGTGGAGACCGGCACGGACTCGGACACGGAGAGCCGCGGCCTGCGCGAGTACCACTCGGTCGGCGTGCAGGTGGAGGACGAAAAGCGGTAAGCGGCCCCCTCAGCGCCCCGGGTCCCGGGAGCCCCACGCCAGCCTCCAGCCTCGCCAGCCACCACTTACGCCCGCCACGTGCGGGGACAGGGTTGTACCCGGTTTCCACCGTCCGAGCACGAGTTAACATCTGCTCGCGTCCTGTTTTTGCAAGAGGCAGGGGAACGACCCCTTCCAAAGCAATGACCACCCGTGAGGCAGAGCGCCGACGGCTCTGAGAGTCAGTCCTTTATCCAAGGGGACGGCCCGGCTGACGTGAAGCAAATGCGTGTTTTCTCACCTTATTGCGTTAAAGGGAAAACACACACAGAGAAGGAAAGGCTAGCACCCTGAGGTGACCGCCACACTCCCCGAGGACCCCCTCAGGCCCTAGAGCACGGATACCTTGACAGCGCTGTTGCTTTGGGAACAAGAGCGGGGGGTTATTCTACATTCAGGATAGGATTTTAATGGCGCATTACACCGTGAACTTAACCAGCACCTAGTCGGTAAGGCCCTGGGTGCCTTCGCCCGTGGCGGGAAGCTTTAAGGCCCAGCTGTGACGCTGCTGAGGCGGAGAGCGTGAGACCACAAGCCCGTGGCTCCCTGGTGCCCAGGAGACACTGGGAGCCAACTGCACCTCAGGAGGCCAGAGCCACCTCCACCCACAGGGCACCCTCTCTGCCTCCAGCAGGGGAGACAGTGTCGAGTTCACTCAGCTGCAGCCACAGTTGTGAGCCGTCTGCGGCTTCAGTTGGTTGGGAGCCAAAGTGACAGCCAGGGTGTGGTTTAGAGGTGCGACCCTCACGCACACACGCGTACATGCACGGGTACACATACATGCACGCACTGCAGACATGCACACCCACAGGGCACCCTCTCTGCCTCCAGCAGGGGAGACAGTGTCGAGTTCACTCAGCTGCAGCCACAGTTGTGAGCCGTCTGCGGCTTCAGTTGGTTGGGAGCCAAAGTGACAGCCAGGGTGTGGTTTAGAGGTGCGACCCTCACGCACACACGCGCACATGCACGCGTACACACACATGCATGCACTGCAGACACGCACAGACACACGCACATGCACACGCACACACAGCGCTCACCCCGTGATACCTGCACTCAGACCCGCGCTTGCTCTCCTCGGCCATTTCAGCAGTCAGCTGTGTGGTCGTGGTGACCGTCACATACACGACACAGATGTCTTTAGAGCTGCTGCAGAGGTCAGAGTTCACACTCGCTGTTCTGCGTAGAGGACTCGGGGTGCCTCTGAGGTGCTCAGAGGGGAGGAGAGGTCACGCCCTGAAAGGCGGTGTGTGGGTGGGAGAGGCAGCTCGAGCTGTCACACGCGTGCGGCCCGTGGGGGTCGTGGGCGCTGAGCACGGCTCTGAGAGGAAGCCGTTTGCAGACGGCCGTCACGGTCTGCAGTGAACTCGGATCTGGGGTGTACACGCTGAGACTTAGGCGGGTGTTGGAGGCGCGCTGTTTGTAGGGGAGGCGCGGGGTGCTGGTGGCAGTGAGGTGACTGGCGCCCTGGCCTCCCCCTGGGCGGTGCGGTGCGTCCCCGCCAGCGGGACTGGGGTGCGCTCGCCCCGTCCGCTCAGAAAGCCTTGGTCTCTCTTCCTCCCTCCGTGCAGACACGGGCGTTTCAAGCGTTCCAACAGCGTGACGGCCGCGGTGCAGGCGGACCTGGAGCTGGAGGGCTTCCCCGGCCGCGTGGCCACGGAGGACAAGGGCCTGCAGTTCGGCCCGTCCTTCCAGCGGCACTCGGAGCCCAGCACGCCCACGCAGGGCGGGGCCGTGCGGACCGT